TCTTAAATGAAACCAATTACCCCCAATGCATTCATATGTTTACTAATAATTGAGCACTAACTAGCAAATGACAGTGTTGTTAGATGGATTTCACCATGATATGCTTAGCCATATGAAGACAAAGTTTTAGCAAAGCTAAAAGACGGTTTTCAGTTACTGTTATGTGTACACACTCTATCCTCTCATCTAAGACATCATATGCATAGTGAATGTGTAAAACTTATGTACCGTAGAAACAAAATAATGTCCTAAATATTCAATCCATAGTTGTTACGGGTGTTCTATAAGAATTTCAGAGTTGTATCATACACAGAGAAACGTTTAGACAAAACTTTTGATCTTCCGAACACTCTGGGATTATATTCAAACCTACATATATGATAGGAGTAATGTTATTTGAAATTTTGTCTAGGAAAGCAAGGATTAACTTAGGTTACTTGTATCTTTAGGGAATGTGATAACTTAAAAAACAGTTTCTGTGATGAGCTTTCCAGATCTGAAACAGGAAGAAACTCGATTCATTATGACTGATTTAAGAAACTTTCAGGGATTCTAGGTGTTTTTTCCTAAAATGAAAGAGTTGTACTTTGTAACAGACAGTACAATAATGTCACCTCTTGAAGTATGAATATGTTATAGTTACCAGTGCAGAATAAGAAGAGTTTATTGATAAAATGAACGAAAGCATAACCGCACATTTGTAGGTTGGAATTCATTCTCAGGCTGTTAAGTTCCATGGTATTTGCGACCGACTATTCATTACTAGAAGGTTAGATAATTACTATTTCAATTTCCTCATATGTTTGTATATAAGTAGTAATTATGAGATAGGAGAAAAGATTTGTAGTTCATGATGAAGATGTTAATTATTTAGCTTTCTCCAAGCTTTCAGGCATACATTTAGACAAATTATCAACAGGTTAGGTAACTTCATCAGCATTAACTGGATTTTCCAGTTGCATGGATGTGTACTAAGGTGTATTTGTCAACCTTGATTGAAGTACCATACTTCCAAAAATTCTTTCACCATTTTCTAAGTGATTATGGTTGTTTTTATTCATGAATCTCCTTATTCTTATCCATTTCTTGAATTTAGATATTTTTATATACATTCAGTGACCTTTCAGTCCAGTCTTTTAATTCCTTTCAATTTAGCGTATGAACTACTCATTGATTGATCTCATTGAGTGAACTGAACTATTATAATGAGCTAAAAGACTAATTTAGCCGATAGTTTGGTGTACAGCTAACCTTAATATGATTATCTGTTAATGATATTTACACTTTTATTTTATAGGTAGTCTTAGCAATAGTTATGCTTTATCAGTTTGATTATCTGAGATATCCATGGTTTAGCAGACTTTTTCTCATACTTATTGATGACAGAAGGTGAAATGAAAATTTAGGCAACGACAGGATTTGAATCTTCAGTCACTTTCGACCAACACCTAGTGCTAATGCAATTTTGTTAAACCAGGATTATCTCAGATAGCTTAACTGATAATCAGTATGATGATCACCTCTTTAATTCATCTGATTTTAGATTAGGTTGACGAGTCCTGACTGATCAGCCAATAAGAATATGATCAAGTGATAGTAACGCATCACGAATTCACATTACAATCAGGCAAAACCTTTGCTGATTGAAATGAATATCTAATCAGTAGTCAGATCTGGTGGTTTAGTTAGCAGAACACTGATCCGGTAACCCGGAGGTTGTTGTTTTGAAATCAGTTGTGGCTTAAGTTTCTATTTCACCTTCAATCACTACCCAGAATTAACAGTTACCCTTGAAAATACATGGAAAAAAAGATTAAGAATAGGCAACTATTCTATTTATCGGAAAAATGCCATGAAAGCATGGAACAGTTGAGTTGATTGGTCTGTAAATGATTACCTCTATTATAACAGAACTGCTCACTTAAAGAATACGGAAGGATTATTCAACTAGACAAAAAGGTATGCATGCAACATAAGTAGAAGAAAGTCATTTACCATATTTTGGTGCTTCAGATAAGCCTAATCAAATAGCAGTTAATAAGAAAAGTGTAATTAATGACAGAACTATTTCATGTTTATTTTAATTATCGTAATTAGGAATAACATAAAGTGAAATTTGAATTTTATAAAATGGATCTAAAATTGCCTGATAGACAGTTCATCATTTATTCATGCTATAACCTTACATGAAATGAAGGAAACAAAAATTTCGATAACGTTATTACAAGACGAAGATTATCTGAACAGTATGTGATGTGTATTTACTCAGCATATTTCAAACAATCTGCTCCCCAATACATTCACTTGTCATGTCAATTTATATATGAAAATGAAAGGAAAGGTCAAATATGATGAATATGAAAAGGTTGACTAGGTAATATAATCAGATAAGGATTACCAAGGTAAATTAAATGAGACAATAAATTGTTTCTGTACATACTGTAGGAGGCTTAAGTTTATGAATGGCTAACGCTTCGACAAATATCAGTATGCGCCTCTAACTATTCCTGTATAATATCTTGAAGGTTACTTTCGTGTTAACCATGTGATTCATTTCAATGAAGAATGTTTTGCAAATATAGGAGTAAAACTTGGGCACTTTGGTCGATTGTAATTCCATTTTAGTCTGTTTACTAAAAATGTTGCGGACACTTTATTGTCCATATTAACATCACCTTAACTCCACAACTTCGAGACAGAGATTATGTACTCCTAATTTTCTCTCCTTTTCTGTGATATAACAAGGCTATTTTTATAATTGACTATGGATAAGTGCAGGTATTACCTGCACTTATCCATATTGGTGTGTTAAACTGCTTTTCAAGCCATTTAGGTATGTGTTCACTCACCCTAGTCTACATAGAACGCTTACTCCTCCCCCCCCCCCTTATGTATGTGTGTCCATAGTTACATGTAAATTGGTAAACACAGTGGGGATTAAATCTTGAGTCATTAGTTAATCACTACTGTCATATTATATGGAAGGTATGTTGATCATATCTTGGTAATATGTGACACAGATAAGGATGCCGGGGGTTTGTTAAAAAGGCTGTCTCAAAATTTAATTGAACTGCTGTTCGTTGGTGACTAGCTTCGAGAAGCATTCCCGAAGTTCCAATGAGAAGTTATGATCGGTGAGGTCAAAGCCTGATGGTTGTGAGGTCAGTTACTCGATGATGACATTGGGTGGCGGTTGCTGAATGGTAACGTGCTGGCCGTGGAACCTGAAAGTCTTGGGTTGGATCCCCGTTGGTGCGGGTTCGTGGGTGGACACTGCTAAGGCGTTCAACAGCTGTTCAGTGCTTCGAGGTTTCCTTTTTTCCTCCAACTGATGTCAGTCTACGATGAATAACAACTTGAAACTTTTCATATTCATGATATTTGACCTTTCCTTTCATTTTCATATATAAATTGACTTGACAAGTCAATGTGTTGGGGATCAGATTGTTCGAAATATGCTGAGTAAATACACATCACATAGTATTCAGATAATCTTTGTCTTCTAATAACGTTATGGGAATTTATGAAAGGGACTAATTGTTTCGAAACAGAAAGTGCCTATGTTTACAAATCAAAGTTTTCTCTTGTACATAATTCTCAATCTTGACTGTTACTATCAGTTGAGTATTAAAAAAAAATTGGATTGTTATATGACAGTTGTCGGTATGACTTCTTTGCGATTTATTATCTTTCTTGTTTCCATGAAATTATTATTATAATTAAACGCTTGTCTGCTCTGATATAGGTTTCCTATAACCAACAATTCATCGTATCATTTGTTTTAATGTTGTTTTTTTTTTTTGAAATTTCAATGGTAAGCGGTGAAATTAAAAGGTTTTCTTATGTTATAAGCAATTTTCACTTAATATTGGTTTGAAAAATAAATATTCAATTGAAACAGTATTCTAGTAATACTTTAATAATTTGTATGAAAATATCACACTGAGGATAAGATGAGTAGTAATGCTATTTTTCTGATTTCCTAATATTATGACAGTTAATATTTTATTTCACAAAAAAATTGTAAAAGTTTTTCTCTGTTACTCATGGTTGGTGAAACAAAATAGTGTACTAAGATTAAGTCTCAATGGGAACAACATTATTAATCGGGGTGCCGTAAATGGGAAGGATGATGCGTTCTGGATTACACCACCAGACATCAAGTAACCTTTAAACTAATGAATATTCAGGTAGTATAAAGTTCTGCAGATAGCAACCTATCTGTTAACAGAGAGAGATTGTAAGCATCTCAGTAAATAAAAACAAAATATTGTTAAATCGATAATTATTATACATGAAACCTGAGAAAATTTAAGCATATTTCGATTCTATTTTATGTGTATTATGAGTTGCTTAGTCTACTATCATTTATTGATATCCATTAATTATTATTATTATTTGTCTCTTGGGTTCCTAATAGAACATAGGGCTTCTGTAGCACATCTCCGATGCGCTGTGTTCTCTGAAATCTTTTGAACCTGGTTCCACGACAGCTTACAAGCTCTCATTTCCTCCTCACACGATCTCCACCATGTCACCCTCACCTCGGACTCCCAACTCGTCGCTTCCTATCTGGGTTCCACTTGAGGGACGGGTTAGGTGTGTGATGTCCCTAGTCGGCCTTCTCAGTGTATGCCCAATCCATCTACATGGTGCTGACATTCCATGTCCTCACGTTTACTTTCGCTTTCATCGACAGAAGACACATCAGCCAGTTGGCTTGCCGAAGACTTTCACCAACCGGCGTCATTTCGCCTCTTCAACTCCAGCGAGGAATGATTTTATTTTTATTTTGTATATTTTGTTTGTTCTTTGAAGTTTCTTTAGCGATTGGATTGTTTTTCCGGGGTAGGGTTGCTAGCCTTATACCCAACCTTCCCTCTTTACCCAGGCTTAGGTTCGGCTAGTAACTAGTGAACTAGTTAACCAGGTGAGGTTTAATCATTAATTAAGCAACATTAAATAACAAAAGAAAATAAATTTTACTCATTTTTACTTACATTGTATAACAATCATAACTTCCGCTCTGAGTTTTTGTTCATATAAATGATTTGAACGCATTGTTGCTTTATTACTAACTAAACATACAAGTCGATCACGTGTAGTAAGTTTTTGTTTATCAATTTCCAATTCAAATTGATCATTATTAATATCTTGAGAGGTGAATTCATCATTTTCATCTTGAATATTAGTTAAATCTGTTGATGTTGATATAAGATTACCATTATGATACCATTCAAATTTTGGTGTAGGATAACCACCTTTAGCTTGACATATAAGTTTCAATGGATTATTATTAATTGAATTATTCTGATTAGTATCGAAAGCTACAATTAGCTGTCCATCAGCAGATGGTTGAGGTACACCGGGTAAAGTTAAAATTTTCGGTGATGTTGGCTTAACTTTAAAAAGAACACATATAGACAATGATAGTATATTAAATAATAACAAAAGTTATTAAACCAGCCAATTAGTAGAACTGATCAAAAATTGATGAGTTAAGGTAACTAGAAAGATATTTTTTCATTTTTCAATCTTGAACCTTTTTCTTTAGCTCTAACATTTGATTCAAGGATTTGTGAAGAACATGTTATCGTCTTCGGTCTCATTGTTATACATCCATCAACTTAAGTTTTTATGGAACTAGTTTTGTATGTCTGTTTTGTCACTTTACCATCGTCCAGTTTCAAAAATCTATACAAAATTCATCAAAGTTAATAGCTCAAAAGGAGTGTGTATTTATCGCTTTTGTATAGCATAGATGTAAGTCATCCAACAAATGATCTACGTATGATTTTTGAGTTCATTGTCGTCATGATCTTTCCTTGTCTTCATGAATTTCTTAATTAATCATCTTTTTTCATTACCTGTTTATGATTTGCTGTCTTGCATCTATATTTGTTTGTTCTGACCTCTTATCAAAATTTCGTGATGGTCTACGTCAGTTTGTAATCATATAGAAACTAAAAGTTTTAATCATCATTAATTACATACTTTCTCCCATAAAACCTATTTTTTCTATACCTAGAAGCACTGGACAGCAGTTTCATCCTAGTATGGGACTCCTCAGAAGTGCGCAGCCACGACTCCATCAATGATCAAACCTGCGACCTTCAGGTTCCATGGCCAGCACGGAACTTGAAATATTTCCAAATCTCCACAACTCCCTCAAAATTCAATTGAATTGATACACATTGGTGACTAGCTTCGAGAAGTATTCTCGAAGTTCCAATGAAAAGTCGTAACCAGTGGGGTCAAAGCTTGATGGTCTTGAGGACAGTTACTCAACGATGACATTCGGTGGTGGTTGAGCTATATCGTGAGCTAACAGAAGTTGGAAATGTAGACCATTGGATTGTGAGTCAGTTGCTGAATGGTAATGTGCTGGCTGTGGAACCTGGAGGTCGTGGGTTGGATCCCCGTTGGTGTGGGTTCGTGGGTGGACACTGCTTGGGAGTCCCATACTGGGAGGAAACAGCTGTTCAGTGCTTCTAGGTTTCCTTTTTTCCCCAATTGATGTCAGTTTACAATGAATAACAACTTGAAATATTTCTAAATCCCCACAACTTTCTCAAAATTCCAATTTTACTAGTCGTTCATTATTTCCTCTTGATATATTCCGTTTGTGATCTTATGTTGACCTGTTGGTCAATGTTAAACTTATTTCTTTCCTGTAACTATAAATATGATTGAGTAGTTAATGAAATGATCGTTTGGAAAAAAGTTGCGTCAGTATCAAGCAGCTTCCACTGGGCATTATTATTTTTTTTATTATATCTGTTTTAAATTTACTTATTTCGGTCAAACTTCAAAGTTACTTTAAGACAACTAGAGAGTGAACATCTAAGATTGCCTTAAGATAAGACTACAGATACATAAGATTAGGAAAAGCTGGAGAAACGTTTATTTAGAATAATCTAAATATGGGCTTAACATAGGATTGATGAGAAAAACGGTGGCATACTCACAGATTGAAAGAAATACTGATATCTGAATACATGTTCTTACATTTCACCCATAAAACAAACAATGAAGCCGACTTAATCATTTGTGAACTAAGCGGAAAATTGTTAACTTTTGTGAGGTATATATATATATATATATAATTTTGCACAATACTGGTAGCTCATAGAATCGATACTAAAATTGATTTACTTTTTGAGCTGGGTCTTTATTCGGCAAACGTTTCAGTGTCATCCTGAGTACCGTCACGCGTGCATCATAGCTTCTTAAGTTAATAATAATAATCGCTTTATTCCAGACAATATGTATGAAAGTAGGGAGTTCTGAGTGTGTAATCTTACAACAAATTCACTCCTAGAACAATAACCTTTCTGGCGAAAGGTTATTGCAGCAGTAATAATAACAGTATTCAAGGGAATGATATGAAATAGCCAGCTACTTCTGTATGGGCATACACTCCATAAAGAAGAATCAACAGAAATGCAAGCGTAATTCTGGTGGTGACGGTTCATTCAGACGGCACAAAAATCTGCAACTCAAGCTAAGTATGTGACGGATAGAAATACGTTGTACGTTTTCACACCGAAAAGTCTATTTCCACATAACGTAACATTTCTCCCTCTCCTTTGTTATTGACTCGAGAAACGGAGAGTTGGAAACGGTTTAAAAATGTGCCAGAGTACATAATACGTTCAAAGGATATATTTAAATGATTAAAACAAAATTGAAAGGAAAGAATTTGATGAAAAATGTCCAATGGATAAACTTGGCAGCCCAAGGTTCAAGCAGGTCCACTTGGTCTTGCACAGATGTTTATAATTTACTGATATTTTCTTGACTCTAACTAATTCAACTAGATGCTGAGTGTAAAGCTGAGCAAATCGCAGGTACCTTGTTGATGATGTCTAGCATGACATCGAAATATTTTAATAATTCCCATTGTAACATCAAGAACACGGTATTTAGCATAGAGACTCTTTTCAACGAATTTATTTTTAAGCTGTACAACCATATATATATATATATATATATATATATATATATATATATATATATATATATATATATATGATAACTAGAAAATTATACCCCGCGTGGAAAGCTAACCACGATATGATTATGATGACATTATTAATAAAATGGATGGTGACATAGGTATCTGTGAATATGATAACATTTGAAGTATGAATGATAACAAAGCAGATTACGTAATATATGGAATGGTTCATGGAAGGTATATAACTCAGAAGGAGGTGAAAAAATTGATGAAAGTAACAAGTCAATAAAGTGTTATTTTATGAGATTAGACAAGATGGTCAAGATGAAATCATTGGTTTCTAAAAACATTAAGACAACTAAATGAAATAACACCGGAAACTAATAAAAGTGAAGGCAATTATAATAACAAGAATAGTGATGAAAAAAGGATACAAGGTTAAATTAACAAAAGAGGAGGGGAAACTAATGAAGGTGGGAAAATATCATGGCCATGGTAAAACGGTGAATATTCATAATTCTTTTGTACACAGAGATCAAGTTTTAGTTCATGAATAAATAGCTAAAGCCTCCACTGTTTTCAGGAATTGACAATGAAGAAAACGTGAAAGGTTTGGGGGAAGTTTGATAAACAATTTCAAAGTCATTGTCTGGATGTGTTGTCGTAGAATGTCCTAGAATACAGCTTCTAACAGACGTTCTTTCACCTTAATCAAAATCAGTCTGGAACATATTCTCATGTACGTGTAGAAAGTATTCTGTGGCTATTGCAAATGTATCTTGCTCTGTCTTGCTCTTTCAGATGAACTGGTAGATGTATATAGGGGCGGCTAAATGAAGAAGCTTATCTTCAACACAAACAGACTATAGTTTACGGCTGGTAAAAGTCAACTAAAATCTTGTTGATTGATTTACATACACGACTCTTGAACACATCTGATGCTTGGTCACCTTCAAATTCTAGGCTCATGAACAGTCATTTCATTGAGATCGAGCGGATGACTGATTTGGTATTTATTTCTTGCATATTTTTATCAATAAACGGCTCCGGTAACCATTTTCGATAAGTATGCTTTTTAGAAACGATAACACTTCATCAATACAATGTAAACTACAGATATTTATTAGTCAATAGCAAAAAGAATGAATAAGACTTCTTTTTCCATTTTAGATTTGTTTATTTGATATAAAGCGCACAGTGATACAGTATTATTTACTTGATTACGTTTCGAGCATAAATTATTGCTCATAATCATATCAATGTAATCACACTTCTTTCGACATCTGATTTTATAGTCCTGTCACCTGATCTCTCTTTGTTTTTTTGTTTTTTGATTGGTAGTAAAGTTTTCCATATCTCTGGTATAGGTGTTGCGTCATTCCTATTACATGTGTTGGGTGTGGATTCGATGAACAAAGATTCAGTAATTAATCTCTCTCTCTCCACCTAGCTATATTAGACTTAAGTACAGTGGTTTTGTCCCACCCTATTGTGTGGTTGTGTGTTAACGAATGTAATGCAATGGCTGAGTGTTTTTCTAGGTTATTGATCTTATTGGGGTCTGTCGTTCTATGTTTAGCTAAATTCCTATGTTCTGTTAATCTAACTGACCCCGACCGGCTAGTTTGACCTATGTATTTGACTTCACAGTCATTACATGGAATTTGGTAGATTATATTATTTTGCTTAATTGGTTCTATCGGATCTTTTAGCCGACAAAGCTTACCTCTAAGTGAGTTTGTTGGTTTAAATGCCACCCTAATTCCAACCTTGTTGAGAATCCTACGTATGGTTTCTGATGTTCCTTCCTTGTATGGTATCACAATAGAGGTGTTGATTTCCTTTCTACTTATGTTGTCACTATTATTTGTATTTGTATTAGTGTTATTATTTTGCTTCTTATGCGTCCGTGTGAATTTCTTAATAAAATGATGGGGATAATTATTAGTTATTAACGCTTCTTATTATTATTCTTATTAAGAAATTAAGTACCATTCGGAATAAAATTGAACAACTTAAATGTAAAATTATGAAGATAGTAAACTGCAGAGACTATGGATTTATAATAGAAACATCAGACAAAGCAAGATTAGCTACTCTCAAGAAATCTAGAAGAAATCAAATCAAAAAGTTCAATAAACTAATGCAAGAAAAATATGCTTCGGAAAACAATGAAATTACAAAGGAAACATCATCGAACATCGATAGAACAAAGTGGGTAGTCAATCTCTCCTCGAAAGCCTTAAGCTCAGCTGAGATGAAAGTACTTGAAAAAGGACTAAACTTCAACATAACAGTAGATCATCTAAAACCAGAAGATGTCATACCTAGCATAGAAGTAGCATTAAGCTCGGTGGATGTGACAACTGCTGAACAGGTTAGAGCGCAGTGTGCATTAGCACTTAAAAAACAAAAGAAGACACAGCGAAACTTAACGAAACTGGAAAATTCAGCTTTAAACAATCTACGAAAGGATAATAGTATAGTAATTGCTAAATCTGACAAAGGTAACTCAACAGTAGTTATGGACAAATCGGATTATCTTAAAAAAATGGATGAACATATCCAAACAGGGCCATATGAAGAGATTAAGAAACCTATAGATACTGTCATGAATAAAATTAAGAAATCTACAACAGATCTGATACGCCGACTGAAGCCATCTCTAGGTAAGTCCGAATGGTTTACTTTAATGCCAAAAACTAATAATCCTAGCAGAATTTACGGTACTATTAAGGTTCATAAAGCAGGTTATCCCATTAGGCCGATAGTTGACTTCCGAAACACACCAACATATGAGATATCAAAGTATTTAGCATCAGTATTACGTCCTGTTAGAGACCGTTCCAACTCTAGACTAGTAAATTCTTACGAGTTGAAACAAAAACTTAATGACCTGCACATAGAAGAGGATGAAAAAATGGTTAGTTTTGACGTAACAAGTCTTTATACTAAAATACCAATCAATATGGCACTGGAGGCAGTCAGAAATCAACTAGATACTGACTCACAACTTACTCAAAGAACCAAGGCATCGGTTGGTGAAATCATGTTAGGAGTGCAGTTATGCTTAACCTCGACAGTCTTCAAGTTTCAGGGAAAGATATATAGACAAACAGAAGGAGTAGCAATGGGATCACCAATATCCCCTATAGTAGCAGATATATTTATGGATAGTTGGGAAGATATGGCTTTACGAACATATAATCCGACACCTAAGATATGGTGGCGATATGTAGATGACACATTTACAGTGTTGAAATCGGAACATATCGACAGTTTCTTGACACACATAAACTCAGTAGTTAACGCAATCCAATTCACCTACGAAGTAGAAAATGAACAAGGAGAATTACCTATGTTGGATTGCAGAATAAAACGAAGGATAGATGGTGGTTTAGATACTACCGTCTACAGAAAACCAACACATTCTAACAGGTATCTAGACTTCAAGTCATCTCATCCAGTGTCAGTTAAAGCGGGTTTAGTCAAATGTCTAAATAACAGAGCTGAGAAACTCACTAGTCATTGTAAGGACTTAAATAAGGAATTGAAACACATAAAAGAAGCGTTAATAACTAATAATTATCCCCATCATTTTATTAAGAAATTCACACGGACGCATAAGAAGCAAAATAATAACACTAATACAAATACAAATAATAGTGACAACATAAGTAGAAAGGAAATCAGCACCTCTATTGTGATACCATACAAGGAAGGAACATCAGAAACCATACGTAGGATTCTCAACAAGGTTGGAATTAGGGTGGCATTTAAACCAACAAACTCACTTAGAGGTAAGCTTTGTCGGCTAAAAGATCCGATAGAACCAATTAAGCAAAATAATATAATCTACCAAATTCCATGTAATGACTGTGAAGTCAAATACATAGGTCAAACTAGCCGGTCGGGGTCAGTTAGATTAACAGAACATAGGAATTTAGCTAAACATAGAACGACAGACCCCAATAAGATCAATAACCTAGAAAAACACTCAGCCATTGCATTACATTCATTAACACACAACCACACAATAGGATGGGACAAAACCACTGTACTTAAGTCTAATATAGCTAGGTGGAGAGAGAGATTAATTACTGAATCTTTGTTCATCGAATCCACACCCAACACATGTAATAGGAATGACGCAACACCTATACCAGAGATATGGAAAACTTTACTACCAATCAAAAAACAAAAAAACAAAGAGAGATCAGGTGACAGGACTATAAAATCAGATGTCGAAAGAAGTGTGATTACATTGATATGATTATGAGCAATAATTTATGCTCGAAACGTAATCAAGTAAATAATACTGTATCACTGTGCGCTTTATATCAAATAAACAAATCTAATATGGAACTACATTCTACCACAGTGCCCAAGGTTTTACTTATATTAAGACTTCTTTTCTTTCGACAGGCACCCAACTACAAAAATTAGTTACTTGTTTGTACCAATTTACTTATCTGTAGACGGATCTTTTAATCGATTTAAAAAGGAATAGGATCCATTTTTATAACTTTTGAAGTGAAGTTATATGAGATTTCTCCGGATCACATTTGGACATTGAAGAATCTTTCAATCCATTAGCTTTCCTACCAAAACCCTGATTAGAATATTGTTTACACAGCTCACAATATTTTCGTAATCAACTTCCATGTTTACTTTCGTTTAATCGTCAGCAAGTTTAATACATCTATTCAATGAATTTCAATGTACTTCTTAAAAAGTATGAAATTGTTTAGAAACCGGTTGGGAAGATCTCAGTAAAGAATGCTACTTGAATTTCATTTAATCGTCTTCTGTTGAGAACATTCTGTATGACAGCAAGTGACAGGCTTAAAGTCTGTAAAATATGTTGAAGTAATGACCGCACACAACTGGATTTGAAATTCCTTAAACTTTGAATGATAAAATTATGCATTTATCAAGTCTTCAGTGTTCACTAAAGTCTGTTGCCTGGTTACATACTTTTAATCAACTTGTGTATGTAGTGCAGCTAGCCATAGAAAAACTCAATTACAGGATTGCGGTGATTGTCAGAAGCTTAATTCATAAAGGGAACATAAATCTCATCGAGATCTTAATGATAACTTCTGATAAATGTCGACATGTATAGAATCACGGTTGACTATAAACAAAGAAACAATGGTAATGCCTGATCACAGTGCACAAGTGAGATATATGCATCAGAACAGTCATAGAAGATCGTTGTTAGAGTGTTGGTTCATAATTTATCCATCTGTAGACAGAATTTATCTTAGGGTAATATGACTCAAGTTTAAGAAAGCCTAGATCTAGGTAAACTTCTGATCAAAGGCCACTGATGCAAACTGAAAGATGTTTTTGTTTGAATAATAAACACCAAATGTAAAAATTAAAATATTCGCTTACCTAATATAACTAACAACGTTTGACGCCGGAGAGGATTTTGTCCCGCGACTGGAGAAACTTGACACTCATAAACTCCAGCATCTTCTCGACTCACATTCTGAATTAACAAATCATGTACTCCTTGTCCTGAATCACCTTGCATTGAATATCTTGGCCAATCTGGTATATTCCTCTTATAACCTTATTTTATGAGTAAACGTAAGTAAATACTGTAAGCATATATATTCTGTTGTATATAATAGAAACTATATTTGTTTAAAAGTAAGGTCACTGTTTACTCCAAAAAGGTGTAAACCACCTTCAGTTAAAACATTACCAAACGTCTAAAGCTGAGAGGTTTATTTTTTTTACACACTGCTGGAAGAATATATTCCTTTTCCAGTTTTTAAGTATAAAGTGCAATACTTCCAATGTTATTGTTTGTATTATACCATTGTTGATTGGAGCGAATTGATTGGTCTCTATTGGCATATAGGCTCCTGTGAGGATGCCTCGATATTGCCTGTGTTCTAGTGCAATATTTCATTAAAAACCAGGTAATGTTAAGATACTTGAGAACAACACACCCTGATCTGCCAGCTTCGTTAGGCAGATAAAGGTAATTTTCACACCAGATAATGATTTTTTCGTAGAAGTAAAAGCTAATCGAATTTGTTATGAAATTCAGCTAACCAAAGAGTCAAATGATTCATAACATATGTCATGGATTGTTTACACTACTTATGTTGTTTACCGGCAGAATATTTCCTTAGTTCAAATTACTTATTATTAGTACTATTACTGTCTGTGATTTTAAGCGGAATCACTTATGATACAAGAGTTGGGCAATAGGTCAGATTTGAAGGCAAGTAGATTATTTCAAGTTGTTATTCATTGTAAACTGACATCAATTGGGGAAAAAAGGGAACCTAGAAGCACTGAACAGCTGTTTCCTCCCAGTATGGAACCCCCAAGCAGTGTCCACTCACGACCCCTCACCAACGGGGATCCAACCCACGACCCCCAGGTTCCACGACCAGCACATTACCATTCAGCATCTGACTCACAATCCAATGGTCTACATTTCCAACTCCTGTTAGCTCACGATATAGCTCAACCACCACCGAATGTCATCATTGAGTAACTGTCCTCACGACCATCAGGCTTTGACCCCACTGGTTACGACTTTTCATTGGAACTTCGAGAATACTTCTCGAAGCTAGTCACCAATGAGCACTAATTCAATTGAATTTTGAGGGAGTTGTGGAGATTTGGAAATATTTCAAGTTGTTATTCACTGTAGACTGACATCAGCTGGAGGAACATTAGAAACCTGGGAACACTAGACAGGTGTTTCATCTTAGTATGGGACTCCTCAGCAGTGAGCACCCACGACCCTGCAAGTAGATTGTGTAAATGAGGATTTTAATTCGCAGATAGCTTGGAGATTGATGTCCTCGGTTTATTTTTTAGTTAACTGACAAGATGTTGTAGGGATTCTTTTGGCCTTTTAGACAAAACAAACAATAAATGAGAGCGTTCGTATCACGAAGTAATTTGAAACCATATTGCATACACTTGTACTAACCATGGAATATACGAATATTTATTAATAATCCTATGTTAAATCTCATTTAATATCCGTCTAACTGTTCGGTATATGGTTACGAACTTTGATTCTGGCTAACCATGAAATCCAAGACCTTAAGTACTTTCGTCCTGCACGGGGCTCATCAACCGGATGTACCTTTATCCCAGTGAGTGACATTGTCCGCAATCAAACTCAAGTCTTGCTCCCATCGCTTTAAACACACTTTAAACACACATCGCCTTAAACATACAATGTAATGGGTATCAGTTATTGTTTATGGATATCTAAAAATCTCCCCAAGTTGCTATAATGGATTTTTTCTAGATTTTACTAGAACGTTTCAAATGTGTCAAATGTCTTAAATCAAGAATGATTAGTGTATAAAAAGGTTCCCTTCAATCATATTACTTTTGACTAATATATCTTATTGACTAATTAGAATTGAAAGTGAAATAACTTAAGGAGATAGATAAACACTCATGCTAAGAATAAAATATTAATATTCATTAAAATTAACTTGTTTATTCAGTATCATGCAAGCTGATATTACTTCTTACTTATGACTCAAATTTTTGTCTGAATAACATCATAAACAAACCAATCAACACTAACCTACCAAACTTACTCATCTTCTTAGCTCATTTTGTCTGTATATGTCAATTAACCAGCAATGCTGTTACCTTTTTTTTTCTATCTCATGAATAAGTCACATTAATAAATTTCTTTCAATAGACATTCACTTTTCATGAAATAATTAATGGCCAGTTGTTGAATAAAATTTATATCTCAAAGAAAAGGAGCAGTTTAAAACAAGAAACTGGCCTACATTTGACTATAACTAGAAGTTGAAATTAATCTGACAGTCAAGCTTGAGAAAGTAATTTTTCGATATTATGAATTGACATTAACTATCAAGTATATATGTTTCGTCCTGTTTGAGACTCATCAGCGTGATGTAATTTTTTCCCAGGAAGTGATGTATTTCTACTAAGACTCAAATCTAAAACCAGTGTTAACCACCGGATTACTAAGCAATGTTATCTACACCTTGTGTGATAGATGTAGCATACTTTAGATGCTATAGCTTGAAACTTTCTGGGATTGATTGAAGCAAGTCGATCAACTACTATTATTATTTGGTTTCAAGCATGGATGCCATGATATAGCCGGGATTTTCAGTATTTTACTATGGATACATCAAAACCCTGATACACTCGTCACATAAGAAGTAGCTTAATAAATAAAGCTCTACTGTTTGAGGTCAATGGTCTTTGGTCCAAGCAATAGGGGGAACATAATCACTCATTGGGAGGCGGGTGAGTAGCATAAAGGATGAGACACGCATCTCAAATTCTACCGTTAGTTACTACTATCCATCTTAAGTATGAAACTGAAAATACCGGAAGTATATAGACACCTAAACAGGAGTCTAAATACCAATAATTGCTGATCAGTTGGGTCTACTTAACAACCGGAAACAGTAAGCAACTACGTCAAAATTAACTTCATTCTTTACGAATAAGTGATATCTGCAGAATGGGGGAAAGTCAAAATGTATGTGAGATGAGTCTCTGGTCAGTTCATCTACAAGTTTTTAAGGGTTCATTAAGCAGAAAAAGACAATAAGACTTTATTTGAACTTAATTTCAATCTTTGGAACTGAGTGACCTCTATTTGATCTCCTAAGTTTTGTAATATATATTTAACAGTTCAGGCACTGAGTTGGAATTCAGTGATCCACAGTTTCCTACTTCTGTTAGTTCACGGTATAGAGTGACTATCAGCCGAACTCCTCAGTTGGTATCCGCTTCACTTCCAAACGGTTGACCCCATAGGTGACGACCTCTCACTATAACTTTTGGATATCGATCTCGAAGTATACTGTACTGAGGAATCCCATGCTTAGAAGAAGCACCTGTCCAGTGCTCCTAGGTTTTCAACTGTTCTCCAATTGACGTCAGCCCGTAATGGATGCTCCCTTCAATATAAAATTCCCATCAACTTCAAAACAATTAAAATATATCCCATCAAAGTTCTTAATACACTAGGGAATCAGTGACGTTATCCCACACGTTTCTTTTACTACGAAGCAGTTTCTCATTTCAAAGTTGATTTCACCAGTATCAGCAAAATGTTCTTTTTTGGATAAACAATAACATAGCCCCATATGATTAGTCAAAAAAAAACTACAGATAACTTTGAATGTAATGATGAACAGTACGCCATGAAAATAGTCGAGAATTTAAAGGAATCATTCCTAAACTGTACTACAAATATCGTGGCTAACATGACAATCAGAAATGAGATTATTTAGAAAAAGAATAATCTGAGAGAATAACCGTTTTCAGTAAATTCATCTTCAACCTCTACAGTCATATATCCATGAAGGCAGGTGAAATAAAATAGACAGTATAAGCCATGTAAGAAAATTATTTCCACTTTCTGAAAGAAGTTCGCGTTGTGAGTAAATAGATATGAAATCGAATGGAGGTCATTTCTTGGAGGTGAGATGATAATTGATCTTTTATTTGGTGTTCAATGAAAACAAAACTATGAATAAAACAACACGATGTAAGGAGACAATCTGAAAATTCATATACATATGTATATCCTTTCGCTCAACAAATATGCACTGGAAGGAAGTGGAGATAGATTGGGCATACATTGAGAAGGCCGACTGGCGATATCACGCGCCAGGACCTCAAGTGGAACCCAGGTGAGAAACGAAGAGTTGGGAGTCCGAGGTGAGGGTGATATGGAGGAGATCGTGTGAGGAGGAAATGAGAGCTTGTGGGCTGTCATGGAACCAGGTTCAAAAGATTTCAAAGAACAGAGAGCATTGGAGAAGTGCTACAGAAGCCCTATGTTCCATTAGGAACCCAAGCGACAATATTATATATATATATATATATATATATATATATATATATATATATATATATATCAGCTGAGCTACGAGACCTTATTTGACAATGAGTTTTTGTAACAAAATAACAAGTGCGAACCGTGATAAAGGGTTTGAGAACGATCATTAGAAATAGTGTTGTTGAACAGCGTAATAGAACTAAGAATGTATGAAGATAAAGGTTTATCGACGAAAACGTAAATCTCATCCATACACATTTATAAACTGTAAGGTTTACTGAAGTTTACAAGTCAAGAATTCTACTACGCCTGACATGTTGAATTATCCGTCTCTTTAAACAGTTAAGCGTTTAGTACAAATGATAGAACCCTAAAATCAAGGACCAGTGAAGTTCTATAAGAAGGGAGCTTGACTGGATTTGCAGAAGGTAGGAATGTTAATAACAAAACAGTAATATCAATAGGTGTAATTTCAGCTTTTTATTAATATCTTGCTTGTTAAACCAGTCAGTTATCTGTGCGATTAACTTATTAAGAGAAAAGTGAAGATAGGAATCTTGGATGAAAAAGTTAAGGAACTACCGTCATAATGCACAATGAATGCTTCATTTATACTCGTTAATGAATTCTATAGACAAGTTGATGAGATTGAGATGACTTGCCTTAGGGTCCTATGCTGGCTAATATCATTTTGGAGAACACTGTGAAAGCGATTTACTGAGAAGCACATTTAACGATATAGAAT